CAAGTGTTGTGGAAAGCCAGAATTCTAACCCAGCACTGTGTGACTCCTATGTTAACTTTTAATCCCATCTGACACCAGTAAAAACACCCAAGAAAAGCTAGGAGATAGCATAGTGGGGTCTGTTCAGTTACCATGAGACTCCACAGTGGCCCTGTCCAAGTTCTAGGTGAAGTAGAGAATCATGGGAATACACAGGAAGCTATAGAATGAGTCTAATTTATTATATAAATTGAGGGTGAAATTAGATTTTCAAGCAAAAGTACAAGTCTATTGCTAACTGTCCTTCACTACAAGAAAAAAAGGGGGAGGGGGTGCCAAACCAAAAGTCGGCTAAGTATACAGCTAAAGAGAAATGGATACAAAGTAACAAGTAGAGGCTCGGGTTTGGAGCTGCAGCAAAAAGTAACTTAAAGAAGAAAGGCTTTATTTCCTATCAGGATTCCAGGTTATAGTTTATTGCCTTGGCATGGCCACAGTGGCAGGAACTGGATTGTCACATCACTGCCACAGTCAGGAGTAGAGAGAAATGCATGGGTGCAGCATGCTTGCTTGCTTGCTTGCTTGCTTGCTTATGCTCAGCACTATCTCTCCACTTGCGAACTGTTCAGGAACCTGTGCCTAGGGAATGGTGCTGCCTACAGGGGGCTAGGATTCCCCAGTCCATCAACATGATTGATACAAGCTCCCATTGATATACCCACAGGCCACCCCAACACAGTCTCTTCCTAGGTGATTGTAGATTGTATCAACAACCATCATAGCCTCCTAGGTAGGGAGTAGGGGCAAGGTGAAAGGGCAGTGTTACCTTGTAAGAGAATGGATTAGAAAGGAAACTTTCCATATTCCTTCTATTATTTGGGAAAAAGAGAATTCTGATGATAAAACCTCAAATTCATTTTAAACAATAACAAGAAATAAAGAGAAAAAGGATTCAAATGGCCAAAGCAGGAAGAGAGGATGAAAGTTAAAAATGAAGTAGATCAATCTGGGGCTACAACAATGGCTCGCAGAGGTTAAGAGCATTGGCTGCTTTTGGAGAAGACCTAACCCTGATTCCCAGCACCACATGGCAGCTCACAACTGCACGCAGCTCTAATTCCAGGGCAGCACATGCCCTCTTCTGGTCTCTGCTAGTACTGCACACACAGTGCATGGTATACTAAGGAGACACTAGTACACATAAAATAATTATGAGAAAAATGAATTAAATTAGATCTTAGGAAAGGATGTGGAAAAAAGTAGGCAAATCAAGGCAACAAAAAGTCCAAAATCTAGAGAGAACAATAAAATAACTTGCCCAAAGCAGTTATGTAGTGTTTATAAAAACATTTTATACACACACTAAAATAATTGGTAGTAAGCATCTGGAATGACACATATTAATCAAAAGCTAATAAAAATCTGGAAAAAAAGTTAAAATAAAATATCAACAGATAAGATTTCAGATAGAAAGCCTTTTGGGAAATGACATGTTTGTTATTTAATATTAAATTCATATAAAAGGGATAAGGAGGATAAAAATTTATATTTACCTGGTAACATAACCTCAAAAAAGAAATATTAATGAGGGAGGGAAATTGACAAATCCATTTCAGTGAGTGAGTTTGATTTACATATATATATATATATATATATATATATATATATATACACACACACTATAACTCTGCATTTAACAGGTAATATATACTTTTAAGCACCCAAAGGCAGATTTACAAAAATTGCCATTGCCATGGTCTCTGCCATCACAAGGTTAGCAAATCAGAGTGTTAAAAATCAATATTATAATAGTCCTTTCTCTCAGGTACCAAAAAGGATAGATTAAAATAAACCATAAACCATCAATTAGAAATTTGAAAGTTTCAGAAACAGCTTTGAGGAAGTCCTTCTCTTGGGGTCAAAATTCAGCGTGTGGCATTGAGCAGGTCTGAGGTTCCCACCAGCTCCTGCACCTGCTTTGTAAACGGGATCTGCCCATATCAGGAGGCCAGATGTTCAGTCCTATTTTCTTAGCCTAGTCTTAGATACAGATTGGCTGACTTTCTTCAGGACGGGTTTTGTGAACAAAACTCTTACACTAGTCCTTAGATATGGCCTAGGAGGTACATTTTATTTTATTGCATATTCTACATTTTTTATAGCCAAGAGTGACTTTTCTATTGGGAAGGGAAAGTCATCGATAATTTTTCATCGATTCAGATCATGTTTGATCTTACTCAATTGGAAGTGTATGCTCGTTGAAGGAGCTGTGCTTCATGACAGTATAGTATGTTATTGACAATGCAATAAGTACCTTTTACCTAATTCAGTCAGAATCTGGCTGACTGATGAACTCAACTGGATCAGAATCTTGTTTCAGGGAACTAGAAGGGTCTTCCTGTTTTGTTAATTCATGTATTGCTTAGAAGATAGGGAACCCTCCACAGCTATGCCTGAAAGCCAGAGGGCAACTTGGAGGAGTCATTTCTCTCCCAGAACTGTGCGGGTCTTGGGGATCAAACTCAGATTGTCAGGCTTGGCAGCCGATGTCTTCACCCACTGAGTCATCTCACCAGACACAGCAGAATGTCTTTATGACTCTCTCTTGCCTTTCTCACACGTCTCTCTCCCACACGTCATCGGCATTAAGAATAACATAACCTGAGAACTCTGTATGATGGTGTGCTTAGATGTTTTAATCTCTAGAGTTCATAAACATTTGATAAGATACAGAAAAGAGTGGAGAGTCTCCACTCCCTCTCATGATGTGGCTCCTTGCCCTTTTGCTGTCCCTTGGAACCATAATGTCATGGCTATTTCCAAAACAGTTCTACTTTCCAGGAGGAGGCTGAGCACACAGTGTCTTATCTTATCTCCGTTTGGCTCATGTTTTGTTCAACAGAAGCACCTCCGAAAAGCTCTTAAAATAAGAGATAAATCAGGCTTTTGTGTACAAAGGAAGAGGCAGCCCTGGAAATTAAGTAGATTATTCTTCTTAGCAGAGTTGACTTGTGCGGGCGATTTCGTCTCTGCACTTGTTACTGTTGGCCAAGAGTTTTCACACACTTTATCTCACTAACTTTTCAACTCCCCCCGCCCCCGCACGTTCATTTAATTAGCTGTAGGAAACTAAGGCTAATTCCAGAGAAGGTAACATTTACACCCAGTCAGAGTCCAAACACGCATTGCTCCGACTCCAGAGAGTCTTCCCCTCTCATCAGTGAGCTCTCTGTGCTTGGTGTAATTAAAGACACGGCTCAATGTCTCAGAAATTCCTAATGGCTCTGAATTCCACATTGTAAACTGTGACCTCCTTACCAAGGTGCTTAACCGTTCCCTTCCATGTGACTCCGTCTGCCATCACCATCCGCCATCTCAGTCCACCATCTCTGTCCGCCCTCTCCATCCGCCATGTCAATCCCTCATCTCAGTCCGCCATCTCCATCCCTCATCTCCACCCACCGTCTCCATCCCTCACTTCCATCTGCCATGTTCATCTGCCGCCTCCATCTCTATCCCTCATCTTCGTGGCCCATCTGCGTGCCCCTTCTTCATCCGCAGCCTCCATTTCCATCCCCTCTTTCTTTGAGAAAACCCGCTGATGGTTCCCTTTGAGCCAAATTAGCTGTAAGAGGTAGGTCTGACTCAGCTATACTTTATGTCAAATTCCCTGGTTAGTAGTTTGTGCAAATATGGTTATTATTTCATTCTTGAGTGTCTATGTGTGTGCATATCTGGGTATGTATGTGGAGGCCGGAGGTCGTCTAGAACTCATCAAGTAGGTCAGGCTGACTTACCTGTGAGCCCCAGGGCTCTATCTTTCTCTGCTTCCCCAACTCTGGGTTTTCACATATTTTTCCACTGGGACTTGAACTCAGGTCTTCATGTTTGCAAAGTAGACACTTTACTGAGCCATCTCCTCAGCCCTCTTTGTATTCTTTTAGTAATCTATAATGAGCTCTCTCTCTCTCTCTCTCTCTCTCTCTTTTGTTCTTTGTATTTGTCATTTAATTTAATTTCTTACTTACTCACTTTCCATCCTTCTTGCTTCCCCCTTCTGATTCCCACACCCACAATCTCTCCCCCTCCCCTTGTCCTCTGTGCGGGTGGTTTTCCCCCAGTTTGACACTTCAAGGCTCTGTGAGGGTAGGCACTTACTTCCTCTCCCACTGAGGCCAGACAAGGTAGCCCAGCTAGAAGAACATACCCCACAGACAGGAAACAGCTTTTGGGATAGCCCTCACTTCAGTTGTTCAGGACTCACATAAAGAAAGGCCAAGCTGCACATCTTCTACATCTGTATGGGGAGGCCTAGGTCCAGCCCATGTATACTCTTTGGCTGGTGGCTCAGACTCTAAGAACCCCAAGGATCTAGCTTAGTTGACTTTGTTGACCTTCCTGTGGAGTTCCTTATCCCCTTCGGGATGCAATCCTTCCTCCCGATCTTCCATAAGAATCCCCAAGATCTATCCACTGTTTGGCTGTTTGTGTCTGCATCTGTCTGAATCAGCTGCTGGGTGGATTCTCTCAGAGGACACCATGCTCCTGCCTGCAAGCATAACTATCATTAAGTGTCAGGGATTGGTGCTTGCCCCTGGGATGGGTCAATGAGCAGTCTCTTGATGTTTTGTAACTTTCTTTTATATAAATGGATCAGTAAGTTCTCAAGGAATGACTTTTAGTCTTGTACATTTTTTTTAATGAATACATAAAAGTGAAAAAAAAACCAGCTGGGAGGAAAAACCAAAAAAACAAACAAACAAAAACAGGTATCTACTGGAAACGGAGCCAGCATAGAGACAGAACAGATTCTCCTCAACATGGATGACGGAGATCTGTGAGCCTGGCTCTTTTGGGTCACTCTCCAGGATAATGTTTCCCTTGCTGTGACTTGCTGAGCTTGGCCACAGGCTTGTGCAATCTGGAGATGGGGGCGGGGTGGGGGCCTACTCTGAGGCTGACTGGGTTGCCATCAGATTTGCCTTTAGGAGTTGATGGAGTCTGTCTTCCTTCCCTTTTAGATCCTACTCTGTGGAGCACAGACCATGTGCGGCAGTGGCTGGAGTGGGCGGTGAAAGAATACGGCCTTCTCGACGTGGACGTCTTATTATTTCAGAATATTGATGGGAAGGAGCTGTGCAAGATGACCAAGGATGACTTCCAGAGGCTCACTCCGAGCTACAACGCCGACATTCTTCTCTCACATCTCCACTACCTCAGAGAGAGTAAGCATGGCTGTTGCCATGGCTGCAGACCCAACCTCAGTGGGTTCAGACAGGGTGCTCCCAGCGTCCTCTTGTCTGACCTGAGAGAACCGCACAGTGGAATTTCATGATGTAGATGAACAATGCAGTCTCTCCTGGGGACAGGATAACAGCACCCCCCTTGGGTTCCCAAGACCAGGAACATGGAACATGGCAGAGAAATAGCCATATTCACTAGCTTCCATGCTGTCCAAACTGGAAGTCAGAAAAGGCTCCTTCTTGTTGGGGATGTGCTTAGTTAACATTCCACTAAGCAGTATGAAGCCCCTCCTCCCATCCAACTGGATTGCTGAAGAGGAGGATTTTCATTTTCTATTGAGAGGATGGGTGGTGTATTGATCAGCAGCGGTGTGGGCCTGAAGGATTGCTGCATGATCTAATTTTGACAACTCTGAGCATGGTCCGAAAGTATCTCAAGTGCAAGTGGGTGGAGCATCTTCCTTGGTGGCGTTGCCTGGCACCCATACACTTCTCTCCTGTGTGAGGTTATCCCATTTAGTGTTTAAGCTATTTCCTGTACCACAGGGTTTAGATGGTTCTGGCAGCCCCCATGCTAGGGCGGGAGGTATATATATCTCTCTTTCTTTTCTTTCTGACTCTGTTTCTTTTTTAGGAAGCTCGTTCTCCATCTCTTTATGTCAAGGCTGCTCTGTGCTTTGTTTTGCAGCTCCCCTTCCACATCTGACTTCTGATGACGTTGATAAGGCTTTACAAAACTCCCCACGGTTAATGCATGCTAGAAACACAGGTAATGCCAGCCCCTTTGGACCCCAGGACACACTTAGGTTCCTATCTACAGGTGCGTGCTTTAAAGTGAAACTCACAGGCTAGTGGTTAGAATGCAGACTCGGGAGGGAAGCTGTAGGGTGTCTGAACACTTCCTGCTATTTCCACCATAACCTCGTAGGCTGTGAAAGGTTTTATTTTATTCTTTTAAACCAACTGCACGAGTTTAGTACTATTCTGATTCCCCAGCTTGCCCCAGTGCACCAGTGTCATTACCTATGGAAACCAAAGCTCCCTGGTATAAAGGGCCCCACAGACCTGCTGCTCTCCATGTTCCTTCCTAAAGCGGTGTTTCCTAGGACTCCTTGGTATTTCTCAGACAGCTTAGGGTGTTGGAGTTGCCTTGGTTTTTAACTTCTGCACAGATTTGTATGTTTGCAAAGGGCAGTGGAAGGAGTGTTTCATACTTTGTGCAAACCCAAGGGAAACTCTTCTGCCATTTTGGAGAATACACAACTGATCCCTGATCCAGCACCTGCCTTCCTGTCTCTAACTACAGATTCTATCTATGCTTGTGTCTGTCGAGTGCCTGAGCCTCTCAGGGCTTGACAAGGCACTTGGCCCTGATTAACCTTCCCTCCATCTCTCGGTGTATTTGGGGTTCTCTGTGTATAAACATGTTACACACGTTCCAAGTACACATCTACCTCCTGTCCTAATGGTGTCACTGGTGGATGCATGGCCACTTGCTGGTCACCCACTGGATTAGCCAAGGACCATTTCCTACCATGCCCTACCAGCCCCCAGCTAGGGAGAAAAGCAGCAAGAGCTGGGAAATCTCTTGTCCCTTGCAAGCAAGCGAGCCCAACCACGACTCTCCCTGACTGAGCAAGAGAGCAGCTTACCAGTCATTCTCACTTCACTTTAAAATGTACAACATCTTATGAATTGAGCCTCAGTCTGCTCCTTTGTAATAAGTAGCTGGTTTGCCTTGGTCTTCAGTATTCAAAACCAATGTGCTTTTTTTAACCTGATGTGAGGTGTTCTAAGCTCCTCCTTCTCGATCTGTTTCGCACATATGAATATGCTAATGGTCTTGTGGCCAAAATTAACAAAGAACTTGGTAGAGTAATCTCATTTCAGGAAACACCCCAGAGCCACACAGGCTCTTGTTACACGCATTTAGAAATTCTTTTACAGTGACTAAAAGTTCCGTAAAAGTTCAGAATTCATTGATTTTTTTTATTATAACTAAATATAGAGGCAATCAAAGGACAAGGATGATAAATTTCTAAAGGACTGAATGCCAAAGGGGAAATCTCCTAGTCTGGGGAGATGACCACTGATTGAAGAAAATATGGAGAGCCGTGTATTTGAGTGGAGAGGTGGATTTATTTTTAGCACATTCCATGTAGTCTTAGGCAAAGCATACTTCTTTCCAAGATCTGTCAGAACATTTTGTGCATCATATACAATTGGCAATAAATAAATACCTGTGCCACAGATAATTTTTAATAAACTAAGATTGCTGGTGGGACACAGGTGGGACTCTGTCAAAAAGCCCACAAAGATTAATAAATGAATACAGGATAATATTTAATGCACGAGGGAGATACTGTGCAGGGCTCCTGTTTGCCGAGAGCTCCACTGAATTTTCAAGGCCGCCCCTGACATCACGGGGTGAGGAGGCGCTATTGCTCAGGTCGAGAGTCACCACAAAGGACCTTCACGCTTTTCTTTCCTTTTGTCTGCAGGGGGTGCAGCTTTTATTTTCCCAAATACTTCAGTATATCCCGAAGCTACGCAAAGAATTACAACTAGGCCAGGTACGCTAACACCCCTGTGTGATTGCTTTATTGAGAGACTCCCAGATGCCCCACTTAGACCCAGGACCCCAGCCCGGGACCCCAGGAACATGTCCTGGACCTAAAAGGCAGTGGGTTATAGCCAGTCTTCTCTCTGCCCCTGTCGAAGGGCAGCTGAGATTCAGAGGTGCTACATTCAGAGAGGAGCCAAGCTGTGGAATCGGAAACAGATCGGGGCCTTAAGTAGTAGTTTTGAGTATTTGAGCCAATGCCTAGGATAGGAACCCCTTGTACTCTCAGTTAAGAGGAGGATTGATGTGCAGTCTGCCCTTTTGGGGTGAGAAAGCAATTCCCAAATTGCTAATGACCAATTCTCATCACTACATGAGAAGCCGTTTTTCAGAGAAGCATCTGGCATATATAATATTTATATCAGAGTCATACTTTATGTCTTTTCCAGCGATTGAATTAGGTAATTAATTTACACATCATTCACTCAAAAGTAAACATTTATCTAATGCCAGGCGCAGAGTTGGTCTCTGGGAGTGGGAAGCTGAAGCAGACTCCAAGCTGTGTCTGTCTTCAGAAAGCTCGCTTGCACATTCCGCTAGGCTTGTGGGTTGGTCAAGTGCCTCGTCTGGGTCTGACATGGGGGAGCTGCAGTGAGTAGTAGGAAGGCTTAGCATGAAGTTCTAGGAGGTAACTTCTGTTAACTTGGTGCCAAGAGACAGCCAAGGACTTGTCAGTGTTTCATATGAAGCAGTAGGAGCTGGCAACTGAGGCCCTGCCTAGGGTCCAGAAGCCTGGGCGTGGATGGAGTCGGGCTCACATGAACACAGTCAGGAAGCCTCTGGGGGATTGGCAAGATCCCAGAGGAGAAATCAATGTTTTCCAGGGAGAGGACACTCTGAACTGGGGATATATCACCCTGACACACCACCCCCTCATGGGGGCCATGACTTCCCTTTAAGTCAAATCTCCTCAAGCTAGCCTGAACACTGGGGGGATCAGGGTTCCAGGAAGTACACTGGATTTCCCAGACTCCTACCTTGGTCCAGCATGCATGTCTTCCACAGCCCATGCCACCCCTCCTTGACCTTTGAATGGCCAGCCTGCATGAGTCTAGCTGGTCTGATCCCAGGCGTGGGAGGACTTTCTTTCAAGGAAGATACAATAAGGCTGGGAGCTGGCTGAATGGTGGCCACAGGGTCACTTCCTGGGGGTCTTCACACCTCACCCCTGCTCCGAAGCCACCACAGTGATGTCAGGCTAGTGATCTCTGATCTGAGAAAGCCTGCTTCGTTGTTGCGAGAAATTGGCCCAAAGTCATGTTAGAGCTCGATAAAGTAATGGACCATACCCAGTGTGTGCCCTAAACTGAACAGCCCCAAGAGCACCACCAGGAGCATTAAGAATGAGGAGCAGGGGAGCACCCTTCGTTCCCTGGCACCAGAACTTTCCGAACATGCCACCTACACGTGCGTCTTGTGCCACGCTGGGGAGCCTGTGAATGGGCATGAATGATTTGGGAACATTTAAAAAAAAATACTTCAACCCAGAGCTAAAAATAAATAAATAAAAGCTCCCAGAGGAACATCTGGCCTTTAAGATTAATTAGTCAATTTAAAAATTACATTTGTTTAAAGCCACCTCGGGAATGCTGCTGGCTGAGTTTCAAGGCCAGGGTGTGTGAGCCACTGAGGTAAACAGATTGGCGAGACAGGACAAGGGGCTCTGTCTGTAGCACTCACAGGGTGGTGCTGTTACTGTCTAGGTTTGTTTTCTTCACCAATTAAGAAATTAAAAGGCAGGGAGTGCTACGGGCAGCGGCAACGAGGGAAGTCTCATCCATAGCAGACAAAAAATCAGCCGACAGAGAAAGACTTTTATCAGAGGCTAGGAAAGACTCGGCAAGGCACAGAGAGACGGCCCCTCTGCAGAGCAGGCAAGGAGGCTTCTCAGTCAGGTGACAGAGGCCGGTGTTCCTATTCCTTATGTGTTCTTATCTACACCATATCTCTTAGCACTGTACACAGTGGCTGGTAAGCACCCAGAGCTGACCCCAGAGCAAGCCAGGCTTCTAGGTAATTAATTAATTAGTCCATGTGGACTCCCTTCCAATCTTCCCTATACTGGGGCTGTCTCACCACAGATTCCCTGCAAGAAAACCCCACAAGACTTCCTTATTTCCTGAGATATTAAAGATGGTCTTCTCATCCTTTCTGTGGGTTACCTCTGCCCACGCTTGCAGGCCTCAGAATCTCCCTGCCAGATGCTTCCTCCCCCCTCCCCCTGTCTCCTGTCCTTCTGCCTCCCATCACCCACATCTGAGACGCCACCACAGTCTTTCCCTTTTAATGACCAACATCTGCTTTATAGATTGGCTCGACACAGTAACTGCCTTCCCACTTTGTCTCTTTCCTTAGCTTCAAGTGCATGAGAGGAGGCCAGCCCGTTCCTTCTGATCCCCTTCCTTCCCCAAGGGATCACCAGAGACACCTTGTAGACATAGTGCAGGTTCTGCAGAATGAGGGAGAGTGCTTTAAGAGCCAAGTCCTGGTCCTTTAAAATGCAAGTGACTCTGTAGCGGCCACTGTAGCTGGAAAGCCCCACCAGGGAGGGGGTCTGGATGATTCTCTGGTGCTTTAGGAAGAATGTGGTAGAAAGGTCTCATACAGAATCAGAAACTGATCCTAGCTCCCAGGAAGTGCACGAAGCTGCTGTGTGTGGGTGTCTACACCAGATGAGCTCTGCCTTTGGACTTCCATATTGTTGTTTCCATATGGATCGTGGCATACACTGTACTTCTATAGCTACCCCAAGTTGCCTCTGGGATTGTTTTAATAAGGTTCCTGTTTATCCAATCGCTTTTGACAGCTACAATAGCAGGGTGAATGCCAGCCAGAAAGTGGCCTTCCTGTGCACAAAAGATAGCTCAAAAGGAATGAAGTGGACATTGAGTTTCTCACCAAAATTAAATGTAAAGTATGTAATGTATTAAAAACCCTATGCCCTTCTATCCGAATTAGTAGCAAAGATTCATGGGTAGTGATTGTCTTAGCAGTCAGGGGTAGACATATGTATGCAGTGCTGGCTCTGCCACCTCCCCAATTGTCCCTCATCCCCAGAAATGTCCAAGGTCAGCATTTCCCAAGGTCACCTCCCACAGGAGGGGGCTTTAGTATCACAGCGTGTGACCGGTAGCTGATAAGGAAATATTGGCATAGACACTCGTGAAAGCAAACAAGTCTGGCGTATCTACCAAGGCAGTGTGTTTGTGAACATGCTAATCACTGTCCAGGCAAACATCCCAAATACTTGGCTGAGGATTAGACTTTGTCGTCTGGTGGTTGTGATTTCCAAGGGAGGGTGGAACATGCTTATCCATCTTTCCAAGGATTTTATGAATAAAGAGCTTCCAAACATTAGTTCTAGCGTGATTATGTAGTGTTTTCTCCAGCCACACTTTATGACCTATGCTTTTCTGGGTGGCAGTTGACAAACTTATAGCTCTCTGGTCCTTCTGCCTTTGTTCTTCCACCTCAGGCCCAGTAGGTCCCTCTAGTACCTTCCATACTAGACAGGTATATATTTATAGGTATGTCTACCTAGTCTGGATAGCATTCCTGAAGTCATTATCTTTGAGAATTCTTATGAGAGTGGTGGAAATAGTTCTGAGATGGCTTTTGCTGACATTAGCATGTGTGAGTGGCCTGGGGCCTCATCAGAGCTCTGGCTTTAGTCTGTAAGTCCAGGGTAAGAGTCTGCATTCCCAACCCTCGCACACGTCTTTGGTTGATGATCCACAGACTGCACTTGTAAGAAGCAGGGATCTAGGACACATTCCTGTGATGCCCACACTTTCATTTGATAATTGGGCCTTTGCTGACGTGTCTGGGTACCCCTGAACCAGGTGGGAAACCTCACTAGCTGGCTATTCTTCCTAAAACGATTTCTGTAATAAAACTCTGGCTAGCCACTTTTTGAAAAATAGATACTACATTTTATGTGTTTGGGGGTTGCGTGTATTGGGAGTGTGCATGCACACGGCACTCAAGTGGAGGGCAGAGGGCAGCTTAGCAGAATTGACCCTCTCCGTCTACCGTGTAGGTCCCGGGAATCAAAGTCAGGTCATAAGACTTGGAAGCAAGCCCCCTTGCCCACTGGGCTATCTCACTGAATTCTTCCCAACCCCCAGTTTTAGAAGGAAAACTGCAACAGGTTGACGATCTGTTTTCAAAATTCCCCAGAGATGTAAGACAAAATTTTCTTGTAAATTGATCGGAGTTACAGATTTCATTCCCACACGCCATCACAACTCTAGAAAAGCTGAAGGTCCCAGAATGCAAACACGCCCCTGAGAGGAGAGAGCAACGGCGGAGTTTTAAAGAGGAAAACTGCCTAACTCTCCGAAGCCCGGGAGGGTAGAATTTCACAGACCACACGAGTTGTGATGCTTCCAGCCAAACAGACTGATTGAATTAGGCCTTTCTGCGTTGGATTTCGTGCTGTTCTCTTTGGGATGGGAACATTGGAAGGGGACACACATGACACAACATAGTGGGGTCCTTTGAAAGCTGATTCATCAGATTGCCCATTTTAAATAAGGTTAAATGATTTGCTTAAAGAGAGACCCAAAATAACTGTACCACTCTGTCCTCTGAGTGAGAGGTCCACAGCCATCCCTTGGTGTCGGCAGAAGCAAGCCTCCTGGAGTATGGGGCTGCAGCTTTTGAGGCCTCTAGAGTGGCATTTGAGACTCTGAACTGAGACCCATCAACCAAGGAAGTTTTGTTTTTAAATTCATTTAACATTTTTCTTTTGTTCTAAGAAAGGGTCTGACCCTGCAGCCCAGACTGATCTTGAGCTTAGGGTAATCCTCCTGCCTCAGCCTCCCAAGTGCCAGTATGCCCAGGTCTTTTTGAGACAGCATCTCATGTAACCCAGGATAGCTCAAATATTCTACGTAACCGAGGAAGACTCTGAGCTGATTCTCCTGCCTCTACTTCCCAGCTTTGGAACAGCTATGTTACAGAATTGCATGTAGCAAGAGCGCTCACGTATCCATGGTTAATAAGAGTAGAAGAAACAATGCTTCTGGGATGTGTTTATGAAAGAAAATTGAAGTGGCATAAATGCTTAGCTATTGGTGGCAGAACCTACACTGAGACTGCAGAAATGCAGTCACTAAATTTGCAAATGTGGCGTGTGCTGAGAGTCCGTGGCACAAGTGACGTGGTATATAAATAATATGCACTCGCTTGCACTCGGGGTCGCTGGTAATGTGTTGTAGGAGGTGGATCATTTCAGAAAGTCTTGAATTTTTTTTATGCTATCCATTTTAGTGAGATACTAAATCTTTTTAGAAAATGAGAAAGAGGGGCCTTTTGCCTAGAAAAACAACTGGGCCAATTAAGACCGACAATATAAATGGAGAAGATTATCAAGGGGAAATGAAGGGAAGTGCAGGGAAGCGGCTTGCTGAGGATAAGAAAGCAGTTCTCATCTCTAAGAGAAGTGCAGAAGACAGGAACATAAATGTCACCACTGTGTGGGTTTGGGGGGATCCAGGCAAGAATCTGTACCTTCACACCCCCGTCATGGGCTCTGGATTGGACAAATTCTGAAGATGAAAGCGTAGACTTCAGTGGGTCCTAGGATAAGTCGGGCTGTGAAAGAGACGCTGTCCTGTGATCTTGATTTCTCCTCACAGGAAAAGGCTTTAGGAGAGTCCGAAGAAGGGGCCAGAGAGGTGGCTCAGCTGGTGAAGTGCTTGCAATGCCAGCGTGGAGATCTAAGTGATCCCAAGTTCCCATGTCTGCACTCAATGACATGTGTCTCGTCAGCTGAGCTAAATCAGTGAGCCCCAGATGAGCCCCAAAGCCCCAGTGACAAGAGTGGCTTCAAACAGCAAGGTGAAAAGGTAGTAGTTAAGGACAATGTCCAAGGTTGGCCTCTCTAGCCTCTACATGCATGCATAACTACATATCTGTAATACATGTGTAACACACACAACACAGAGTCAGCAAGCAAGGTCTAGGAGAATCTACCAATGAGAGTCGTCAGCTAAATGGAGGAGAGAATTTTAGAAAAATAAAATATACAACTACATGAAATATGCAAAGTGTAAATTATAGGTAAAACCCAAGTTGATATTTTTATTGCTTTTGAATTTTTATTCTGTTATTTATTCTAAGAAACAAAATATATCTGTCATAGAACGTAATTGGTTTTTAGTCCATGTATCTGTTTTTTACAGATTTACCTTACGAGCCTCCCAGGAGATCAGCCTGGACCGGCCACAGCCAACCCAACCCTCAGTCCAAAGGTACAGGCTCAGTCCAGTCTTGATCTGCATATTCCAAGGCATGGGTGACTACAGCCAGGATAAAATATAATCTCAATAGTTGATCTGTGGTCTTTCTAACATGTAGAGGGCTCCTTCCATTCATGATAAAACAGATGCAATCTTTAAGCATGATGAGTCTTTTTGTTTGAGATGTAACCTACTTTTATAAGGAAAAGAAATGAACGGTAATTCTCATTGTGGACAATGGTGGTTTCAGGAGATGTTTACATACTGATGAGCTAATTGCTGGTTTCCTTTGCTGTGGCTCTGCTTGGCATTAGTCTTCCCTGGCGCTTTCCCCATTCACCATAGCCCATTTCATTCTCCTTTGTAAGCTAGCTCAAGTTCCTTTTTATTGTGTTTAGAAGCAATGGCTACATTAGATTGTTTAAATCATTGGAAACATTTTAGAATGTTTATATTTGATTTCATTAGAGAGGGCGGTTTCTTCTTACCACAAATGCTTCTTGTAGAATAAAATTACTATCTTGACAATTAATTGATTATAAAGTGAATAACATCAAAGACATGCAGCCGGATCTGAATTGTTGCTAATTGTCTTTTTTTTTTTTAATTGTTCTTGGGTTTTTCAGCTGCTCAGCCATCTCCCTCTGCAGTGCCCAAAACTGAAGACCAGCGTCCTCAGTTAGGTGTGTTTCAGAAAGCATCTTGGGAACCCTAAAAATTGTTACAGGCACAGACAGGAGTTTCTAAAATGTGTCCCCTTTAAAATGAACTTCATAACTGTCATGTATGTAAAATGAGGTCTAGACCAGTAGCTTCTCAGTTGAAAGGATTTTACTAAAACTCCTCTAAAACCTTTAAGTTGAACATGGGTGTATCATTCGCTCTACATGAAGGCTGTGCCTTGGGGAACTGTAAATTCTGTTACTTGGACTATCAATGGTGTGCATTTTAATGTCAAGTCTGTCAAGTCTAAGGTGGAAAGACAGTGGGATGCTGACCTTGAACACTCTGGCCTGGCCCTTATGGCCTCAGGTCCAACTTTGCCCCATTAAGATCCTGGGTTATATGGACTGTGGTTGGTAGTGGGAATATCAGACCTCAAGTTTTTCTACCAACTTTGATGCTTCCAACAAGAAATTCTCCTGAGGTCCTGTGTGATACCTTACCTCGTGTGGGAGGTAAAGGCAGGAATTTGGGGGGGGGGTAAGAACATTTTCACTTCTGTACACATAGTTCTGTCTGGCAGCCTAAGTTATCTTCTACCATAGATCCTTACCAGATCCTGGGACCCACCAGTAGCCGCCTTGCTAACCCAGGTGAGTTGTCACTTGTGATTTGCTGCTGTACAGTTACTTTTAAATTTGGAACTGTTTCAGAAACTTGTACTGGTGAGAAACTTCTCGAACTAGAGAAACTTGGCTTTCAGCTCTCATCTCACTGGACTATTTTTATTTACCTTCATAGAAAGAATGGATCAGGTTATAAATTAAGACTTTAGTTTAGCAAGGAAGATTATAACCTAATTGGATTTATAATGTTTTACTAGGGTCAGTGCAACAAAGTAACAGCCTGAGTTCCGCTTAGTAACTTAGTAACTCTGTATATTGGCTTGCGCTAGAAGCTGAAAGGCCGAGGCCAGTAGGTGGAGACTCCCGAGTTGTGAGGAAGGGGTTGTGAGGAAGGGGTTGTGAGGAAGGGGTTGTGAGGAAGGAAGGGGTTGTGAGGAAGGGGTTGTGA